CGGTGGCGCGGAGGCCACGAGGCCGAAGACCCACGTGATGATGCAGCCGAAGATGGCGTGGCTCCCGCGGAACGTGAAGTTGCCCAAGGGTTTACAGATCACCAGGAAACGCTCGAAGGCCACCACAGCCAAGGACCACAGGGACACCATCCCTGGGCACAGGGACACAGGGTCACCCAAACCATCCCCACCACGGCCAAGGACCACAGGGACACCATCCCTGGGCACATGGACACACAGACACCCAAACCATCCCCACCATGGCCAAGGACCACAGGGACACCATCCCTGGGCACAGGGACACGGGGTCACCACTGCCACCACCCCCTGAGACACCCAAACCGTCCCCACCACAGCCAAGGACCGCAAGGACACCATCCCTGGGCACAGGGACACGGTGTCACCAAGTCCACCACATATCCAAGATCCAGTAGATTCAACGTCCCCATGCCCAATTCACCACCCCCTGAGACACCCAAACCATCCCCACCACGGCCAAGGACCACAAGGACACCATCCCTGGGCACAGGGACACGGTGTCACCAAGTCCACCACATATCCAAGATCCAGTAGATTCAACGTCCCCATGCCCAATGTCCTTGGGCCACGGTGACCTTCTACCTCACATCCTACGTGTCCAACATCCCCATGCCCAACGTCCTTGGGCCACGGTGACCTTCTACCTCACGTCCTACGTGTCCAACATCCCCAGACCCAATGTCCTTGGGCCACGGTGACCTTCTGCCTCATGTCCCCCATGTCCAACATCCCCAGACCCAACATCCTTGGGCCACCGTGACCTTCTACCTCACGTCCTATGTGTCCAACATCCCCAGACCCAATGTCCTTGGGCCACGGTGACCTTCTACCTCACGTCCTACGTGTCCAACACCCACCAACCCAACAGTGACAACCTCGTGTTGCCAACTGTCCCACACCATGGTGCCTTTCTACCCCAACCCCACACACCCAACACCATCACCGTGTCCACCACGCCCGTCCCAGTGCCCCCGTCACCTCCGAGCGTGGCCGCAAAGCCCTCGATCTTGCAGGCCGTGGGGCCCAGAGCGAAATACATCTGGGAGAAGCTGTAGAAGGCAGTGGTGGAGCCCACGCAGACCACCAGCAGGTTGGCCACGGCCAAGTTGACCAGGATGTAGTTGAGGTGTGAGCGAAGCTTCTTGTACTTGGCCGTGCAGACAATGGTGAGGACGTTGATGGGCACCCCGAAGGTGATCAGCATGAACATGAAGGCCGCCATGACCCTGAAGAGGCCGGGGCTGCCCAAGTGGGTCTGCGGCACCAGGAAGGGGCTCAGAGCCGTCAAGTTGGCAGTATCCAGTGCCATGGGGATGTAGAAATTCTCCGGGAGCTCATCCCGCATGTCCCGAGATTTCTGCATGGCAGCGGCGACCTCGGGGCGGACACGACGGAAGGATAGCACGGGGTGGACCTGGGATGGAGGGACACACAGGGTGGGACGTGGGATGGATGTCCACCAAGAGGTGGAGGCAACGGGACGGACACAGGATGGATGTCCACCAAGGGGTGGGACGTGGGATGGATGACCACTAAGGAATGGAGGCAATGGGATGGACACAGGATGGAGGGACACTACGGGATGGACGTAGGATGGATGACCACTAAGGAATGGAGGCAATGGGATGGACACAGGATGGAGGGACACTACAGGATGGACGTAGGATGGATGACCACCACAGGATGGATGGGATAGAGGCAGCAGGGACGAATGTAGGATGATCAGCCACCTCGGGCTGGACGTGGGATGGACGTCCACCACGGGATGGAGGGAACAGAATGGACGCAGGACAGAGGGACAGCACGGGCTGGACGTGGGATGGAAGGACACAGAGGGACCAAAAAAAAAGCAAGATTTGACATAGGATTGACAACCACCTCAAGAACAGACTTAGGATGGTTAACCACCTCGGAATGGATGTAGGATGAACGTCCACCATGGGATGGAGGCAATGGGATGGACGCAGGACAGAGGGACAGCAAGGGGTGGACGTGGGAGGGAAAGACACAGAGGGACGGATAGGATAGAGGCAGCAGGGATGGACGTAGGATGGACAACCACTATGGGATGGACGTCCACCACGGGATGGAGGCAACGGGATGGACACAGGACGGAGGGACAGCAAGGGATGGACGTAGGATGGATGACCACCACAGGATGGACGGGATAGAGGCAGCAGGGACAGACATAGGATGGACAACCACCTCAGTAATGGACGTAGGATGGTCAACCACCTCGGGCCGGACGTAGAACGGTCAACCACCTTGGGACGGACGTAGAACGGTCAACCACCTCGGGCCGGACACGGGATGGACGCCCAGCACGGGTTGGAGC